CCTTTATCCTCTCTCCTCTCCCCCACAGCACAATTTCAGAGAGCTATTTGGCCCTCTCCCGCTCCGTGGTGTGACTCTCCAGTGCCTCAGCATGCCTGGTTTCTATACTACAGCGCGTGTCCTAATGTGCGGCGTGCATGCTCGTAAGGCTCTGCTCCGGCAGACCGGGGAGATGACTTGCCAGCATGTCAGGAAGGAAGGGCTGCATGCAGCAGAGCAGCTGTTGGAAGTACAGCTGCTGCCCTCACACCTTGCAGGGCATCCAGCCCACTTGCCCTAGCCCCGGGGCCTGGAGCGGCACCTGCTTGCCTTGGGGACCGGATCGAGAACGCATTGTGCCTGGCTCAACCAATAGGAGGGCTGTGTTTGGTTGCCAAGGCCACTCTTGTGAGTCAGAGGTGGGAGGGGGGAGCTGGGTATATAAGGGGCTGGCGGAGCCTCCTGGGGGCAGGATTAGCTGGTGCTGCTTGCATGGTGCAGGCTTTGGAGTGGGGGGAGGAGGAGCCACCACCGCTGAAGGCAATTCACTCTCTTAGGAGACCCATGGGCAGAATCTGTTTAAATGCTTTTTAAGGTGAGACAGGGAGGGATGGGTCCCCAGCTGGGAAGGAGGATGCAGGGGTGGTGGGAGAAGGAGCATAGGCAGCAAAGGGAATGGGTGATGGGTGGAGGAACCTTTCTGCAGGGGCTGAATTAAGTTGCTGGCAGCACGTGGGGTGGCATGAGGGAAGGAAAGTTGGGGGTGGCTCCGTACCCTCTTGGTAACGAGCTGGAACTTGTTCTCATCCCCGCAGAGATCTCGGATCCCCAGCAGCAACTACGCCTCGGGGTGTTGCGGAAGCTCGGAGTTCACCAGAGAGCCCCCCTGGCATTACACCTAGCCCCCCAGGACGGAGGCTTTGAAGCTTTGGTAAGGAAGTGCAGTGGGGAAGGGCTGGGAGGCATGCATTTCTGAACCTGGCACCAGTGCTGGTCATCTCAAGGGACAGCCCTGTCTTAGCACTCATCTTGGCTGCGCAATGCAGGCCAAGAGTCTGGGTGGGAGGTTGGCTAAACACCTCTTTAGGGAGGTGGTGATGCCAGACAAATTCTTGTCCCCTCTAAACTTCCATGTTTCAGAGGGTCAGTCACTTCCCAACCAGATGCAGTTCCCCTCCTTTTTCCTGCGTAGTTTTTTGGATTGCACGATTGTTTCCACCATACAGCGCAACATGTTAGCTCTCTAGCCTGCAGCTCTGAGATCAGCGAATGGCTTGTCCCTGCCCCCCTCTTCCCCACTAGGACTTCCACAAACCACTCTCTGCAGACAGTGAGAAGCTGTAGTTTCCAGGAGCAGAGTTGGGGCATTTTATCCCCTCATGCAAGGGGGTCCATGTTAATTCTGAGGGCTGAAAGTGAAGGTCTCTCAGAGTTAGAACTGGGAACAGTTTCTGTTATGGTGTCTTCAAATCCATAGGTTATGTGACAGGCCTGAGTTAAGAGAGTGTGAATATCACAGTCAAGCCCCTGTGCAACCTTAATTCTACCTTACTGCGTGCACCGTGACACGGGGAGATCCCCAGTGCGATGCACTGTGTGCGCACTGACATCGATGGAGCTACACCAAGGGAACAATACTTTTGTATAGCAGCTGAGGATTGACCCCGTCCTCTTTAATTTCATAACCAAGCTATCAAATAGTTTCATGCACTTGTTTTTCCTTTGGGGAGTGTGCTTTTCTGTGTGTTCTGGAGAAATGGGTCCATGAAACTCCCTGATAAGGAAACCACAGTAAATCCTCCTTTCATAACCTCTTGCAGACTGAGTCATGTATAACAGACTATGAAGAAATATGTTCTGGCATATATAGGCCATTTAAGTTTACAGCTAAGTTAGTTGTGTCGTTAACTGTGTCAGTGCCTGCCAGAGCCAAAGGAAGGCTGGGCTGCTGGTAGTAAAATCGTGGTCCTGGGAGCTGATGAAACTGTTCCCATATGCCTCTTAGGGATGAGAACTTAGCTGATAAAAGGTTTGTTAGCTACAATACTGATTTATTGCAAGCAAAACAGAAGGAACCATAGAGTCAGGGTGTCTGTGCAGGAGTGAAAATGAGGCTGATGCTTCATGGATGCGTCCCAGTTTCTGGTGGAAAATGTATTATTTTGTACCTAAAAGTTGCAGTAAGCATGTAACCATGCTGTTAAAGGCTGTTAAAATGCCATGGGCAGAAAAAGGCAACACCACATGGTTGTGTCATCAGAACTTTGTTTTTCTCATTTAGTAGTGAAAATGGCCAACTTGGTTTCTTTTTCTTTTTTTTTAATATTCTCTTCATACTCCAAGTAGCTGAACTACTTATACAACAACATGCTAATCCCCAAAGAAACATATTCTGGTAGCAACCAGTCTGCACAAATTTCAGCCCAAACCATCAGTAGGCATCTGAAAACACTCAGGCAACATTAACTATAGTGATCACAGCTCTGGTGCATCTGAGAGCCTGTCCTCTGAGACAAGATCCAGGTCTTGCTGTAACACAGCACTATCACCAAATTAATTCCATTCTGTTAAACTAGAGCAGTTCACATGCATAGGTTGTTTTGCTACTTTTAAACAGATCCTACTTAATAGCTGCAAGCTAAACTGGTATAAACAAGGCTTTAAAAGAAGAGAGAGTTGTCAAGACATACCATTACAATGGTGTAACTGAATCACAATAAAAGCAGGGCTCTAAGTCACAGCAGTCCAACTCTGGGTGGAGATCAGGTCTTAAGAGATGGGGATTGCTTAGGAATGTGGGATGAGGATAGTTTCAGTAGATGGACCCAAAAAGATCTCATCACTGACACTCTTCCTCCTTCCTCTGCAGTGTGTTGCATACCTAGAAACTGCTTCCTGCTGAACAAGGCATTAGGACCAGCACTGTCAAATCTTGACCATGAATGGGTACTTGGATGAATCACACTTTTTGATGGTGGAGGAGGGTTTCACCACCAGAGACCTCCTTGAGAACCTGCTGCTGGATCACTCCCAGGCAGTAAGTGCCCTGAGACACCAGGGCCAGTGGAGAGGAAGGACAGTATTATAGAAGCTAGAAGCAAGGGAAATGTTTGTCTGTCACCCTCTTCTGAACCATTAGCATTTCAGATGCTCTGGTGCCATTTCTTAGCCCTTCCCAACCCCTACACCTTCTGGACTAAGTTGGTGCACAGAACTGCATGTGGAGGTATGATCAATCAGGCATACCCAGGCTTGATGTCTGACCAATCACATGCATTTATGGACTCAGCAAATTCACAGATGACACCAAGCTGGGGGGTGTAGTAGATGCAGTGGAAAGTAGAGCTAGGATTCAGAGTGACCTGGACAAACTGGAGGATTGGACCACAAGACGTCTCATGAGGTTCAACAAGGACAAGTGCAAAGTCCTGCACTTAGGATGGAAGAATCCCATGCACCCATACAGGCTGGGGGCTGACTGGCTAAGCAGCAGCTGTACAGAAAAGGACCTGGGGGTGACAGTGGACAGTAAGATGAATACGAGCCAGCAGTGTGCCCTTATTGCCAAGAAAGCTAAAAGTGTACTGGGCTGCATTGGTAGGAGTGTTGCCTGCAGATGTTCCACTCTGTTCTGCACTGGTGAGACTACATCTGGAGTACTGTGTCCAGTTTTGGGCCCTCCACTGTAGAAAGGATGTGGACAAGTTGGAGAGAGCACAGTGGAGAGCAACGAAAATTGTTTGGGCATATGACTTCTGAGTCAGTGCTGAGGGAACTGGGTTTATTTAATTTGGAGAAGAGAAGACTGAGAGGGGATATGATAGCACCCTTTAATTCCCTGATGGGTGGTTCCAAAGAGGATGGAGCTGGGCTGTTCTCAGTGGTGACAGATGATGGAACAAGGAGCAATGGGCTCAAGTTGTAGCAACGGCAGTTTAGGTTAGATATTAGGAAAAGCTTTTGCATGGGGGGGTAGTGAAACACTGTAACAAGTCACCTAGAGAGGTGGTGGAATCTCTATCCTTGGAGGTTTATAGATTCATAGATGCTAGGGCCAGAAGGGACCTCAACAGATCATTGAGTCTGACCTCCTGCCCTGGGCAGGAAAGAGCACTGGAGTCAGATGACCCCAGCCAGATGCCTTCTCTTAAAGACCCCCAAGGTAGGGAATAGCACCACCTCCCTTGGAAGCCCATTGCAAATTTTGGCCACCCTTACCGTGAAGAAGTTTTTCCTGATATCTAGCTTAAATCTGCTCTCTGTTAGCTTGTGACCATTGTTCCTTGTTACCCCAAGAGGCGCCCTGGTGAACAGAGCCTCTCCGATCCCTTGCTGCCTAATGCTAATGAATTTGTAGGCAGCCACAAGATCACCTCTCAGCCTTCTCTTGCAGAGGCTGAAGAGGTCTAGGTCCCTCAGTCTCTCCTCATAGGGCTTGTCGTGTAAGCCCCTAACCATACAAGTGGCCTCCTTTGGACCTTCTCAAGTCTATCAACATCCTTCTTGAAGTACAGCACCCGAAACTGGACGCAGTACTCCAACTGTGGTCTGACCAATGCCTCATAGAGGGAAGGTATCACCTCCTTGGATCTATTTGTCATGCATCTGCTGATGCATGCTAAAGTGCGGTTAGCTTTGCTGATGATTTCATCACGCTGACGACTCATGTTCATCTTGGAGTCCACTATGACTCTGAGATCCCTTTCTGCTTCTGTGCTGCTGAGAGGGTCACTTCTCAGCCAAAGGGAGCCAGTTTTTAAGGCCTGGCTTGAGAAAGCCCTGGCTAGAATGACCTAGTTGAGGATGGTCCTGCTTTGAGCAGGGGGTTGGACTCCTGAGGTCCGTTCTGACCCTCATTTTCTGTGATTCTATGTACCAGGTCCTAACTTGTGCATGCACATCCTGCCTTTCTGCACAGCAATTAGGTGTATGCAAGCATGTGCAGCACAGGGCTGGGCTGTCTATGGAAATCTGAACAATAAGGAAGGAGGTGGTTGGTGGAGCCTTCTCTATCTTGAGGAGGGGAAAGTCTCTTTATAAAACCACTCAGGTGCCCTGAAGCCTCCTGACACTGCCCTGAGAGAGGGATGTCAAAGGCCTGAGTGTAACAGAAATGCTGGCCTTTGGGCTGGGAAGCCTGAGAACCCTGCCCCTTAACTGAGGCTGCAACCTCTGAGGCAGCTTTCTCTGCCTGCCAGCTTGGCTCCAGTGTTCTGGGTGAAGGGCAGACTTTTGCTGACAGGCTGAGATAACAAAAGATAAGACCAGCTGTCTAAATTCTCTTCCATTACTGGTTCCTGTTCCCATCCATTTGGTAGGGCCACAGCCTTACTCCCATCCTAGATCACGCTCTGTTGTTCCCCTTGCTAAATGCTTTCTGTTTTTCCTGTCTAAAAATAGATTTGCTTATTGCCCAGGGTGGGCTCCAGTCTCGCCCATTTTCTTCCCACTGATTGTAGCCTCAGAGCTGATCAGTGGCTCTGCATAGACAAGCTTGAATTCCCAAGAAAGCGAGGACTGGCTTTGTGCTCTCATCAGTCAATCTAAAGTCAGAAGCACTCAGCCTACATCTTTTCATATTATGTCACCTGCTCACACTGCTGCATCCACAGCCCTGAGGCTGTTCACCCTACAGTGTTTGGTGGGGCATGCCCAGCCAGCCAGGAATTGCCCATTTGCTTAAAAGGAGCCCCCTTTGCTTTCTTTACTGAAATCTGCAGCAAACAGGATTCTGAGAAAGCCCCCAAATCTGATGCATCTTGGTAATGGGATGTGTAGGGCCAGGTCCACACCTCTGTTAGACTGGTGCAAACTAGAAGTAACTCTGCCAGCATCTGGCGACTCTAACATCCCATGGGGTGATTGAGCGTTTGGTCTTTTTGCAATAGCTCTTTCTTGGCAGTGCAATGTGGGAAGCTTGGGAGGGAAGGAATCATGATGGGAGCCCAGCTGCTGACTCCATTGTCTTCCTTCTAGTGTGACAGAGAGGCCTTCTTTGTGGCAGACCTGGGGGACATAGTGAAGAAACACCTGCACTTCTTGGAGGCCTTGCCCCATGTCAAACCATTTTACACCGTCAAGTGCAACAGCAGCAAGGGAGTTGTGCAGCTGCTGGCTGAATTAGGGGCAGGATTTGACTGTGCTAGCAAGGTAG